GCAGCAGCAGCAGCAGCAGGGCAGCTTCTTCGGACCTTCTCGTCATGGGAGGAAGACAGCCCTCATTTTTCAGACTGTTTGCTGTCTATCTCTTACAGCCCAATGTACTGCTGGCTAGGATCTCACCCAGCCGCCTTTCTGTTTCCAGTCTCATGCCATTCACTTTAGCTTCCTCTTTTTATAAGGGTGAAGGAAGGAAAGATGGGAAAAGAACACTAGAGGAATATGCTTTGACCATAAAAGCAAAGGACAGTGAACAGGTGAAAACTGTGGAAGACTGAAAATTACAAAAACTCTGTAAGAAAAAATTTCATAAGAGCAATCTAGGTCCACATAGTAAGGATTAACGAAATCCTACACACAATAGTTACTCGGGGCATCAGTATTAATACCACAGTACAAGGTAATAATGGAGTCTCCCCCAAATATTCATTTAGCTCTAGATGAAAACTATCCATCTAGAGTGGGTAGAGTGTTCAGCCAAGCATACAAGACACCCTCCCCCATGGAGCTTAGAATTGAATTGGGAAGAAAATCCACGAATGAAATAATTTCACAAGTAAATAATTATAATCTGTGATATGAATTATCAAATAAAGAATCAGTTTTACAAAGGAAAGTCTGGCCTAGTTCATGTGTTAGTGGGGAAGGGGGCCAGCAAGGGAGCCTTCCTTAGAAAACTGAAGTTTGAGCTAGCTAAAGGGATAAATCTTCTTTGTTAGAAAAATGAATAGAAGAAGGGGTGGGAAAAGGGGAACAGTATCTGGGGAGGATAAATACAAAGGCCTGAGGCAAAGGGACAGATACTGAGTTTGAGGAGCTCAGAGAAGGACAGGGTAGCCAGCTGCGTGTGCATGTTCATTCCAACTCCTCAAGAAATTATTATCAATATATTCTGCTTAAGGAGAAAATCCATGTGTAATTTAGATTTTAAAAATCCCACTTGGAAAAAATAAAACTCAAGTAGTTTGTTGCTGAAAATATCAATTGTAAGTTTTGCATAAAATTATTCTATACTAAGTTTTAAGCATTTACTAATTATCAGGCACCATACTAAGTTCTGGGGATATAAATATGAATAGGTTATATTCTGTACCTTAAGGGAGCTAGAATAAATAATGGAAAAACTGAGGTAAACAAACAATTACAGCTACTTGATGGAGGGGTGGCCAAAGGCCATGAGTACACCAAGAAAGGGAAAAATTAATTCACTCAGGGTTGAATTATCTTGAAAATTAATTTATGTTCAGTACGTCATTACCAAATGATGCTAAATAAATGAACTGTGACTGAATGTAAGCATGAAACAAACCAGAAATCTGAACTCTGACTAGTCTTAAAGGATAATGGAATTGTTTAATGGACTTCGAAGTACACAAGCCTGCTTCAAAAATAATTCTGAGGGCTGGCCCGGTGGCGCACTGCTACAGTGCGCCGCTTGGGAGCGCGGCAGCGCTCCCGCCGAGGGTTCGGATCCCACATGCAGACCGGTTCCCACTCACTGGCTGAGCGAGGGGCGGGCGCAGCACCAAGGGTTGCGATCCCGTTGCTGGACACGAAAAAAGACAAAAAAGAAAAATAATAATAATAATAATAATTCTGAGAATTAGACCACCCTCACTAGTCTTGGGCAATCATTCAAATAACTAGATTTGAGGATAATTGAATTTCACAGTATGTATTTGAAGTTTAAAAAAAAAAAATGAAAGGAAACACTGAATTAGACCTGACTGCACATTCAGGTCAGGTGCAGATAGAAAGGTAGAAAAAGGCAATTTAAGTTTAATTTATTCTTTGATTGAGATACAAATAAAAGATTTATATTTTTCAATAATAAGCACTACAATCAGCTTTTTTGTTCACTGCAGTTTATAAGATTATCAATAAAACAAAAACCAAAGACTTAGATCCTCACATTAGGTCTACCAATAATCAGCTATGTGAAGGCAGATTATCATGTGATTTCTAAATCTCAGTGATCTTATCGTGAAGGAGAATAATTTCATCAGTAGCGTCCTATGATTCTAGAATAGTCACTCCAGAAAAATCATACACCACTATATTATTTTCACTGAATTCCATATTGACTAATTGTAATTATAAAAAGTCAGGAGAATACAAAGGCATTTTACCAATAATTTGCTAGAGCATGATACTTCAGATTTTTTAAATACTTTTAATGTATCAAAGATAACTTGGAAAGCATATAACACCTGATAATTATGAAGCTATTTAAAGTTAAATAGTGGTTCTGGAGTCTAGTGAAGACTATGTAGTCTCACTAAATAGGAAAAACATACTGAAAAGTCAGAATATTTTTGATGAAATCTATGCCTCTTGCCTACAGGAAACAAACAAACAAACGCATAAACCCCACAAACACTCATATAACATCAGATATCTTTGTGCACTACTATGAGGATAAATAAAACTTTATACAAATTCTGTTGTAGTACATATTTTGGACATCTCAGTTATTTTTACTTAAAGTGCTTGACAAAGTTGCCTAAAGTGAATAAGGAGTTACAGTATGTGTTCCAAAGAGCAGTTCGATAATTTTAAAAATTGGATATGGTTTTTTCACTAGATCCAAAAAATGACACACTAATTATATGCAGTGCTACATAATAATTCTAAGAGTAATTGCGGTATAATTTTTCTGACATGTATTTACTATCCATCTCCATCATAATTATTATGCATAGATTATACTACCTTGTTTTTCAAGATCTTCACTATCTCCTTAAGGCACAGACTTTTCAAATATTCCTTTTAAAATATATGGTGCCTATGATACCTATATCATCACAGGACCTCAACATATGAGTAACAACAACAATACTAATATTTATGCAAATACCTAACATTCCAGAAAGCCAACCCTCTATTACTTCTTAGTTCTTTTTATAAAAGTAAAAATGTTGAGGAAGGGGCACGTTTTTTGTAACTTCTGTGTGACACAAATAGTTTGTCCTACTCTTTCCTGTGCCATCCATCTCTTCTCTTCCTGGCAAGAGCGTCCACATGCTCCATGATCAAAGGGGTATTGACTAATGCAAATTAGATGCCTCATGCATGCAGCACTTAATGGAAGGGGGTATCCACACTACACATGTTTTCAAGGAAGATAGCCGCAGTTTTGTTTAATCCAAGAAACCCATGTGGACAAGTACAGCTACAGGTCCTCTCACCTCTTTTCCTGTCCAAACCCCACAACCGCTCCGTAAAGTACTGTTAATGATGTAATACAATCAAACACTATGTTCTTTGATAAACCTAGAACAAATTATAATGTATGGAATTGAGTATTTGACAGAAATGAAAAAATAGTTGGATAACATAAAGATTTAAGTTCTGTGATGGTTAATGTTATGTGTTAACTTGGTTAGACTATGGTGCCCATTTGTTGGGTCCAACATTAGTCTAGATGTTGCTGTAAAGGTATTTTTTAGATGCAATTACGTTTACAATCCTTTGACTTTGAGTCAAGCAGATTACCCTTCATAATGCGGGTGGGACAAATCCAGTCAGTTGAAGGCCTTACAAGGTTTCCTTGTAAGAAAGAAGGAAAAGGAATTCAGCCTCCAGACTGCAACATAAAAATCTACTGGAGTTTCCAGACTTCAGACTCAAGACTGCACGTAAACTCTTGCGTGAATCTCCAGCCCGCCAGCTTATCCTATGGATTTCAGACACGCCAGGCCTCACAACTGCATGAGCCAAATCCTTAAAATCTCTCTCTGTCTCTCGCCATATATATGTATAGGGAGAGATACATATAATTGGTTCTCTTTTTCTGGAAAACACTAATATAATTTGTACAAAATATTAAATATATTAGATATTCTTTTCGAAAAACAAATAGTTTTTCCATATCTGACACTGACTGTCTGAATGAACCCTTGGATTTAGGGTTATTAAAACCTTCATGTTTTTAATATGCCTTCTAATCGATATGTATTTTCTATGGGACATCACACACAACAGAATTCAGACATTTTGTATAGATACAGTAGCATAATCATATTCTCATGTGTAATAGTTGCAAAAAAATGTTTTAAAAGTAGAATTTATATGGCAATATTTTCAATTGTAAGACTAGTTGTGAGTCAGTTAAACTCTTAAAAAGCAGTTCTGGGCTGGGCAGTTAGGTCAGGTGGTTAGAGCACGGTGCTGATAACACCAGTGTCAAGGGTTCAGATCCCTGTACCAGCCAGCCCACAAAAAAAAAAAAAAAAAGAAGGAGTTGAGTTCTTCCTAATACATATCATTATCTTCATGTTGGAAAACACATTTTTTAAAAACTATTTTTATAAGTAGCAAATAAATTACAATAGCTTTACTTTTAGAACAAAGCCATGTTCTACTAAAATTGTAAATGGTGTGTTAAAAATAATTCTTTTTTGTGCCGGCCCAGTGGCGCACTGGATAGTGCGCCGCTTGAGAAGCGCTCTTTTCTACATGCATAGTTTGGTTTTTTCAAAGTGAAAGCTTTACAAATAAAAATTCATGCAGTTTGAAAATATATTCAGCACATTTTGAGCTTAATTTTGAGAGAGCTTTTTTCTTCTTTGTTTCTTTTTCCTTTTAAAATTTTTTTCGGGCCGGCCCGGTGGTGCACTGGATAATGCGCCGCTTGGGAAGCGTGGCGGCACTCCGCCCGAGGGTTCGGATCCCACATACAGACCGGTTCCCGCTCACTGGCTGAGCGAGGCGCGGGAGCAACACCGAGGGTTGCGATCCCGTTGCCGGTCCCTGGTCCGGTACGGGGGCAACACTGAGGGTTGCGATCCGTTGCCGGACACGGAAAAAGACAAAAGACAAAAAAAAAAAAAAAAAATTCTTTTTTTATATCTAACAGATTGCTATCAGAGAAAATGTTGGAATTACAAGTGTTAAATTATGTTTTAATTGCCCACAAAAATTCTGCAATGGGCATTCTTCAGAAAGTTGGGTCCCTTCCAGAGGCGTTCTGCAGACAACAGCGGGTACTTACTCACTGCGGAGTCATAGGAAGTGGAGTTGTGTTCACCCCGCATGAAGGGGTACGGTGACAGGTAAGCGTGGGTGCAGTTCTTGGACGGTGGCTGGTTGGCTAAGAAGAAGAGCAGAACGTGGTATTTGTTACTGAGCAGCTCAGTGATGACTGACTAATGAAAAGCAATGCAGAGGCTAGGGGGTACAAAGCAAACTAAAACTGCTGCTTTCAAAAACACATTCAGGGAGTTGTTTTGTGATGGCGAACGACCCCCTAAAAAACTCCTGCTGAGAAGCATGGGCGACCTGGAAGATGGATTCATCCAGAATATCTCACTACATGATATGTCAATGGAATAAACTCAAATGCCCTTAATATCACCTTAAAATGGAAGTCACCATGTTTTATTTATTCTCACATGTTCTATGGTACCTAACATAATGCCTCGCATGCAGTAAGTATTCAAAAATTATTGTTTTAAAAATCTAATAAGCAGATGTAAACTTGATTAGTTCCCATTAAGAGAAAATTTCTTTACATTCATTCTAGTTTTAGGAAAAACATGCAAACGGTAGATCATACAAGTTAAGCATTCAAACACATATTTAGTATTTGAAGAAAACACAGGAAGAAACTTTTATGCTATCTGAAAACTTAAAATTTTAATTATGTACACTATAAGGCATAGTGAAATGGTCTTCATCTCTCTAAGTCTTTGGCAAAATCTTCCTCTTGCACTGACTTCTCCACTTTACCAAAGTCTGATTTTCATTGGCAAGTTGCATGCTTATTCTATCCAAAATGCACTATGTGATAGTCTATCAGACATCCTCTTAGAACAAAGCCACTTCACCTCTACTTTGTTCCTTTTATATAAGCCACCTTGCTATCAGCTTGCTGAAGTCTTCGGTGACCTCATATTTTTATGACATATTCCTCAGTCTGAACTACTGTGTAAATACCATACTTTGATTTTTCACAGTGGTATTTGATAAGAAGACTAATAATTTTGACCCTCAATAAGCCACAGGATAATAAATAGTTCTTTTGAGGTTGGATGCAATAAAACAAAAATAAATGTTAGCTATTTTCCATGAATTGACTTTCAAAGATTATACAATATAAGAAATAAAATTTTAAAAAATGCATCATAGTTTACAAATGTATTCTACTTTGGAAAAGAACCTTAACATTTCTATGACAGAACACAACATCAAAAGCAGGACGCCTCTTGCTATTACCCGCAAACTTGGTTGAAGACCAAATAAAACAAGCTTTCATCTGCCGCTCTGGTAATTAAGTTTCATTACATAAAAAAAGAGAAACGTCTTTTAACTTTGAAACTATGAATATAAAATAATACATCTCTATTTCTGGACTTTTACATTTGAGATTTCAAGGGTTTATAGCCAAAAAAAATTTATTTGCAACACAGCAATAAAAGACACTTGAAAAAAAAATACTAGAGATAATATCTGTTGTGTTTGTTAGTGTTATTATTTTAAATATGAGCAGGGAAACAGCAGATAATTCCATTTTGTCATAAATATTCAAACTTCTATTTCATATTAGAAGATAAAATAATTATTCCTATAGCCATTTCTACTTACTGAAAAGGAACTTCTTCATGAACCTTTTGAAGACATCTTATTCAAATTTTATAATTAAGAATCCAATCCTCTTGTAAGTGACATGTACTAAATAAGAAGCAATTCATTTTTACTTCAGAGACAAAGGGGAAAATAAAGCTAAATTGTACTTACTGTACCAGAACTTCCAGATATTCGAGCCATTCTCTTCCACAATCCCGTTAAACCAACATCTCCAGAAGAATCCTTCGTGGTGGAAAGTGACATTTTCTATCTGCACAGAACACAAACGAAGTCACTTGCTGTCAACACAAGGAATATAATCAGAATTATCACAACCAAGAATTTTTTAAAGAAATGTATTTTATCTCAAATAAGGACGATCATTAGCTTTCTATGTATCTCTTCTATGAAGAAATAGACACTTCACTACCATTCTGTGATCTCAAGAGCATACGCAAGGCTAGCTTCATCTCTACCAGGTACATTCGTATTTTGAAGAAGAGACGCACATTCTGTTCACCTGAACATCTCCCCACTTCAGTCGCAAGAAGCCAATAATCAGATCCAAAAGCCACCAAAAAGAGTAAAACCCCCAAAGCACCAAAGACAGCCCCAAAGAAAATGGCAATATTTAGCCGCATTTTTGATTCACTGATTTCCTTTTAAATAAAATGAGAAATGTAAAAATGGCAGACACCTAGCTTCTCAATAACAACAAAACAAGAGTAAGATTTTCGAGCAGGCAGAATCTTCTTGAGAAGCCTGTTGTCACTTGAGTCTTGGTGGCTTCTCGTTTCGATTCGTATTCCCTTTGCTCTGCCCTGGAGGGGCTCCAGCCCAGCAGCTGAGAATGGCTGGCTATTTTAAGATACGGATTGAGAAGCTGTCTTTCTCCTGTGGGGATCAAAAAATAGCTGACCTTCCTCTGACTATAGAGAGCAGTATCAGGAGCTGGCTTGAGTTATCATTATTGCTGCTGGGTAATCCATCCAAGCAGAAAAATGATGGAAGAGCTAGGATGTCACTGACAGCATCAGCCCCAAGGTTAAGCTCCTCTCCATCTAGAATGATCATGACAACCCCAAAGACACTTAAGACTCTCTTTGAAAATATATAAATTGCAGCTATAAAAGACCAAAAAGATATCTCTGGAATATAACTGAAGTTGTAATTAATTTCTTAATTCTTTTTGGACCTTTTGGGGATAGAAAAATATTTTTTGGTCAATGGTCTTAACATAACAGAATATAGTTCAGGTTTAAAACTTAGACATTCAGATGTGCACTTAAAAGATCAAGAGTATTCATGGGAACATAATTCTTGAAAGTATAAAAAGTACTTTTATGCAGCATACACTAGTGATGTAAAAACAGTACTTTCTACAGCAGCTCATAAATCTTATACAAGTTATTCCAAATAACCAGCCCAAAAGTGGACTGATAAAGTCACAAAACACATATTGTTTTCTGGATTAAGATGAAAGAATTTGGCCTACTCTTTCATTTTTCTTTATTTTAAATTCTGTCTTCCTCAAAATGTAAATATGGGTTTATATTATCTTTTAATTCTATTTTTCCACGAACTTTTTAAAGTACCCTCGTACTTAATACCCATGCAGACCACCTAAGAGTAATAAATCTACACTTTCTTCAAGCCTTTTCTCTTTACAGTTTGTTTTGTTTTCATGTCTGAATATGCCATAGAGTTGTTTTTTGTTTGTTTGTTTGTTTGTTTTTTTAAGTATTTGTGTGCTATTTAAAGCCTCGTACTGTCCCTTTGGCTGTTGTTTCTGTATTCTCAATAATAACATGGTCCACTTAATCTTCCAAGGAGGCATCTGAACTCCACCAGCTTCCTTCACCTCCCCTTCTGTCCGGCATGAGATAGATCGTTATGACAGAGTTTGTGAGGGCAATAAGATCTTTAGTAAGGATGAAGGGCCCTGACTAGCTCTAGCTATTTGCAATGGAGGTGTTCAAAGGCTATGAATGGAATTCTAAGCCATAGAATCATTAGCTGGAAGAGTTAAAATGAATTTCAGAGTTTGTCTGAGCTGATCCCTCACCTAATGTTCAGATCGTTTTTGTAAGACTCCTCAAACCATAAAGCTATGGCATTCTAGCCTGTGGCATTTAAGGACATCAGTAATGGCCACACTGCACTGCCTAACCTTCTGCCAATAGCTGCATCTGAGGAGTTTCCAGGTATTTATCTCCTCTGAGATTGCATGGGACAAGTTTAAATCCTCTGTTATGTGAGAGAACTTTCTGGTATTTTGAAGATGGCCATCGTCTCATGTCACCTCAAACCACAGCCCCCGCCCCATCCTTAAATATATATCTTCTTTTTTTAAGTTAAACACTTTGCTCCTTTAAAAATACCTTGGATTGACAGAATTCCAAAGCTCCTCTGTTCTGGTTCTTTCCTGGAATTTTCAAGTACTTGATTGAAGGGAGGCATGGTAAAATATTCTGGGTACAGTCTAACAACTTAGCAGCACCACCTTTCTTATTTGGATGCTGGGACAAGCATCACAACAGCCTCCTCGCTTAGCACCCTGGACAGCCCAGAGGCTGACACACAAACAGAGGCGCCGCAGCCACGGCCCGGACTTCGCGGCTCCCTCCTGCGCACCCTGACTCTCCCTCTCATGCACAGGCCTTTTTAACTCGTTCTTTTACGTGTGTTTGTGTACACTGCTTCAAGTACTTTTGAGAACATGACAAACACCCAACAATGAAGCAAACCAACAAAGACAATTTGTGAAATCCGGTATCAGAAGGAGCACCGTGCCCTGTTAGGAACGCTTCTTTGGTTTAGTTCAGTTTTTTCATCTGGAAACCTTCCTGAACTCCTTGGGCATTCCTCCCTTCCTTCCCTTATCCTGCTTATTTCTACTGCCATAACTTTATTTGGAGACCCTCCTGATTTTCTGGGAGTAACATCTCTTTTAAAGTCTTTTAGAGAAATTGTGGTAAAAATGATTTTAATAATTTTTTAAATTATAAAATAAAAGTTAAAAAGCAATCTTTTAAAACCTAGAGAATGCTAAAATCATGAACATTCCATGATATTATACTAAGCTGCCCCCTTGGTTTTCACAAATTGAAACTTGACAACCAAAGGCTTGGTTGAATATTTTGAAATTCATGTCTTGAGTTTGATGCTCATTCTAATTAGAATATAGAACATACTGCTAGGCTAAATGTGGCTGAGGTGAATAATATTCCTACACTGATATTAATTAGTGGATAGGGCATGGGTAATTCATATAGTTAGCAGGAGGGTGAGGGCTAGGGTAGGTGCAATGGCGTATAAGAGTATGGAAAATGTTAGTAGTCGTAATGGTTCCTTAACGAATAGTTTTATTGCATCGGCAAAGGGTTGAAGTCAGTCAAACACTGGAAGCCTGCCTGTATTGATCCTATGCCTCTTTATTTAGTTAACTGTATGTTTTGTTTTGTTTTGTTTTTATCAATTAGATACATGGAAACTTAGCAGAAATCTCAAGTCATATTTAATTTGTGACTGATAATGGCCAAAACATTCTTTTTTCTAGGGTCAAAATTTCTAATCCTGATATTTTAATGTTTTTCATTATCTCAAAATATTTAAACATTCTCAAACAAAATTAATTCTGGTTCATTTTAGTTTTAAAAAACACAAGCATGACAGTGCTCAGTACCCAACAATGCTGATCAAATTTGTAAACAAATATAGAAATCAAACTCTCATGGCTTCCACAGTCTAGGAATCTGTATTACAGAAAACTGGAATGCTTTACCAAGCATTCTACAACATCTTTTTTGGAGATTTTAGGGTAGATTCTTTTTTTATGTGGGATAATATATTATAGGTCCACAATACATTATCTGCTTTCCCATTACCCCAGAGTCTTTGAAAACCAAAATCTTTTGGCAAACAGACCTGAATGAAATGAGGCTATAAATAAATTATAGCGTGGATTCTCATATACCTTATTTCATAAATATGAATGTGTTTCATTACAGGGTCCCCAGGTTCCACTGGGGGCATTAGGTCATGTATAGTAGATACATCATGTCACTTTTCTAAAATCCACCAAATTCTGAGTTCTAACACACCTGGCTCAAAGGGTTACAGATGAGAGATCGTGGTTCACAGTCCTAGACATAGGTCAGTAGACGGAGTCATGAGCCTGAGAATCAACTGCTTCCCTACAATAATTATTGAAGCAGATTTTTACTGCCTATGAACCATATGTCTCCGTATCTTCGTTTTGTTTTATAGTTTATGGTTCTTGGGGGGCATAATTCCCACTGCCTCCCCCCCCCCACCCACTAAAATGACAAAAATGACACATTGTAAACATTTTGAGGGACTATTCACAGGCTTTCTAGTCTTACACACAGTACAAAAACAATAAACTCTATGGGAGCGAGAGTGGTTCTGTTTTGTTTACTGTTACAACCCTAACTCCTAGGGCAGGTGCTCTGGAAAAATCCAGCTGTCAATCTTACTGAGTTGGATTGAATTGGTTTGAACACTGCCATCTGCTGGCCACAGGTAAAATTTGCATTCCTCAGGACACTATGGTCAGCTGGGATTTTTACATCATACAAATATTGCAGAACAAGGACTTAACTAATTTCATAGTATTTGATGCTGAACAGCCTTAACTAATATGCTGTCATTAAAGTAGCAATGCCCTGATGAATAGCTCACATTTAACACAACTATAACAAGATCCACAGGCTTATGCACCTCATTAATTCAGGCAGTTTACTCTCCATTAAACTGAGTTTCTTACTCTGGTGACTCACACAATGGGAATTACATTACAAAAATATTCCTTTACTTTACAAAAGGGTTTGCTGCCTAGTTCCAAGATCTGTTCCAAAGAGAACTCTATTAGTGCAGTTAAATACAGTAACTCTTGAAAGGGAGAAAAAAGCTTAGAACTTGTTTGTTAAAAACCAGCCTTGAAATGCAATCAACACACAATAAAACATTTCAGATACAATAGTGGGGACCAAAGGGGAAATGATTTCGTACATAAAACTGAAAATCAAAATGATGTGACTTATAGGAATGCGTCTATTTTATAAACAAATGTGCATTTTAAACTATAATTTCCATTTAATTTACTTATCTCTTTAGATGATGTTAAAATAATTCTTCCTTGGTTGTGAAGATGCTTTGCATAATGCTTATGTGCAACGGCTTGAGTCTTAATTTAAAGAGAGAAAAAATTTTATGTATGCTTGGCTCTGGGGTATGTTGCTTTCCTCTTAACCTTTGTAACTAGGTTCTACTTTATCAGGAAAAATGTAGATGGACTCTTAGCTCCTCTTCTGATGATTTTCCAGAGGAGGCTCTTGTAAGAGGCTCCAATGAGCCCGGAGTGTACGAGCAAGTTTCAGTCACATGTCCCAAAGGAAAGACAATCCAGTTGGTAAAGACAGTGGAGGCAAGGAGGCATGGTGTGACCATAGTGCCACCAGGTCTCCTAGAGGAGAAAGCAGTTGGGGTTGTGTTGGTGAGCAATAGTCAGAAGTGGCCCATGCAGAGGCCGTGGACACAGGATCGCTGAAGGGGCTGCCACGGTGTCTGCATAGACAGTTCTACAGTCTCCTCTTTATGTTTTGCTCAGCCAAGTCCTTTAAGTTCTTTTTAATTTAATTACATGTGCAGTATGGGGTAAGCACTTAAACATTAGAACATAGGATACTCAAATAACACGGTAGCTAGACAACAAAAATGACAACAGCAACAGAAGGATGATGTTCAACCCTTACAGAGCACCAACTCTGTCC